CAAGTCACATTGGCTTTTCTGAGTAGAATCTTGCTGCTGAGGAAACAAGTCCTCTCTGCAGGGTCTCCCTCATCTCCCATTATACTCCTAGCTTTGTCTGGCTAGTCCCTACTTGTTCTACTGGTCTCTGGCTCCTTCTTCTGACCCCCACAGACACCTTCCCTGACCCTGCTGCCCTGTATCAGAGTCCTCCCCCTACACTACAATAATTGTGTGTTTCCTTGTCCATTTCCCCACACTTGACTCTCAACTCACAGAGGTCAAGCACTCTCCTGAGTCCTCCTTATTTCTCAGCTAGCTCTAACACAGTAAAACGTCATTAGGTACTTATCAAAGTTGTCTCAAATGTTCTTAAAGTGTTCCGCTGTGTTCTTAAAATCTCAGGATCATGACATTAGAGGTCACCTTAAAAGATCACTGGTCTTTTCTACCCTTCAAACCCTACTGTACCCTCACAGGCAAACAGCCAGCCTCAGCTTTGTCCCCTACAATGGTGAGAGCTCACTGCCTGCTGGAACACCTCATCTCTGCTTGACTTCTGACTGTGATAATGATCGACCTTATGCTAAGCCTAAACTTGCCTTCCTGTAGCTTCTGGCCTTTGGGTCCTAGTTCTTGTCCTTGCAACCACACAAATAAACCTAATTCTTCTTCCTCAAGACAACTCTCTGGAGAGTTTAATCCAGTTCTACTGGTCTCTCTTAAAGAGAAATCTTTTTTCCTTTCTTCAGGTAAACATCCTTAGTCACCTCTAATATTTTCAAAAGGATGTGGCTCTGAACATCTTCACCCTCATGCTTGTTCTTCTCTGATAATTCCCTATTTTTAAATTTTATTATAGTAAAAATACTTATCATGAAATCTGCCCTCTTAGTCAATTTTAACAGTACAATACACTGTTGTTAACTATAGGGACATGTTGCTCTCATATCTTATCTTGTATAATTGAGATTATACAAGATAGTTGTATTAGTAATTCTACCTTTCCTCTTGCCCTCAGCCCCTGGAAACCACCATGATACCCTTTGATTCTATATATCTGACTATTGGTATATCTAATATAAGTGGAATCAGGCAGTCTTTATCCTTCTGTGACTGGCTTATTTCACATAACAGTATGTCCTCAAGGTTCAGTCGTATTGTCACATATGGCAGGGTTTCCTTCTTTTTAAAGGCTGGATAATGTTCAATGAAGAAAATCATATTTTCTTATTTCATTTTTTTAAAGTGTTTTTGCACACAACTCTGAGTTTCTCTAACCTATGGAGAGGAGAGTGAGATTATTTTCTCCTTCGTTTTGCTAATTATAATTTGTACCCTGGTTTCATTACCCTACTGAGCGGGGAGTAATCTAAAACTCTAAGTTCTTTTCTTTTGTTCTCCTGCTAAGCTGTGTGTATTTGCTACTGTGCTTATTCATTTGGTGTTTTGTCTGTAGGATAGGATGTTAAAGTTTTCCCAATTCAGTCTCATTTTGCTATGCTTGGTGATATGGTTTGACTGTGTCCCCACCCAAATCTCATCTTGCATTGCAGTTCCCATAATCCCCACGTGTCATGGGAGGAACCTGGCGGGAGATAATTTAATCACGGGGGTGGTTACCCTCTTGTGGTTCTCATGATAATGGATGGGTTCTCATGAGTTCCGATGTTTTTATGAGGGGGTTTCCCCCTTTTCTTGGCACTCTTCTTGGTGCCATGTGAAGAAGGACGTGTTTGCTTCCCCTTCTGCCATGATCGTGAGTTTCCTGAGGCTTCCCCAGTCATGCTGCACTGTGAGTCAATTAAACTTCTTTCTTTTATAAAATCACCCACTCTTTGGTATGTCTTTATTAGCAGCATGAGAACGGACTAATACACTTGGTCATTGTATCCACCCAGCCTTTTGAGGGCTTTTTGGATCCTGTTTCTTTACCTGAATTATCCTTGGCTTCTTGTAGTTCTTATTCTGAGTAGATATGATGAAACTGGCTACTAAGTCCATATCCAAGGCATTGACAAAGGCATCAACTGAGACGGGATGCCAGAGTCCTGTGGCAAGCCACCAGAGATACTCTGTAGGACCACCGTACTCAACATCTAATCCAAGATCCAATGAAGAGGAAACATCTGGGATACTTGTCCAAAAAACACATTCCTGATTTCATAGAAATATACAATTAGAATTGATAGAGGTTGGGCCTAGTTACCTATATTTTTCAAAAGCACTCCAGATGATCTCAATGTATAGCCTGGGTTGGGACTGATCAACTCCAGAGCTCACTGAGTTCAAAAGCCCCAAACAAACTGCAGTTTGATCTGGTCCAAAATTAAGCCTAAGGAGTGCAGCCTGATGGGATGGGATGGAGCAATGGCAGAGGATTGCCTGGTTCCATGAATATAGTCAGTCTATCCATACTACACACCTATCTGGGCAAGTTCTCTACAATGGCTCCAGATCTTTCTCTGTTCCTTTCACCTCAGACCCCCACCCCCAACTCTTTCTGTTTGTCTCTCTGGTTCTGAGTCCTGGCTTCCAATGCCAGTTTCAACTCCTGGATTTTGGTACCAGGTTTGACTTCCTCTGCCCCGACCCCAACTTGTTAGTGTCATTTTCCCACAGGCTCTCCGTAGACAGCTCTGATTTTGGCATCTCTTACAGCCTCTGAGAGACTCCTTTCTAGCCCTGGCATATTGAAACAAAAAACTCTCGGGATATAGATTGGTCTTTATTTAAGACATGGCCCCTAGCCTGCTGACTTCTCAAGGGCAGGACCTTAGCTTTGCAGATTTACATCATATTCACATTAGTTATATTCTACAGGTGTCTACATTGCCCAATATGCAATATGCTGGAGATGGTACACAGTAGGTGCTTAATACATTTTCCTCTCAGATGGCAGAATTATTTTGTCTGAGGCAATAACTGAGATTAGTGAAAATACCACAGGCTTCTAAACATGACAGACTTGAGCGTGAATCTCAGCTTTACCATTTCTTAACTGTATGGCGTTAGGCAATATAATTAACCTTCATGAACCTCAGGCATCTCAACTATAAATGAAAAGTATGAGCTAAGTGTCTCAGAGTGCTTGGGCTCTCAGGTTCTATGATTCTTTGTAAGTCACAGACTCCCCTTGCTGGCTGGGACCCACTTTGGGGTCCTTAGATGGCAAATCTCTGCAGTCAAGTCGTACTTTTCAAGTCAGACTGGAATTTTCTTCTCCCAGCAGCACGTGGCAGGCTGTCGCCACATCTTTTATGAGCATAATCACACCACAGGCATCCTCCAGCCCCCATTAATCAGCCCGTCCTGTCGCTTTAATTCAGCAGCACTCCACCATCCACCTAAATAATCACTCTGGCTTCTACCCGTGAATTCTTTTCATCCACTTTTGTTTATCACCATTGAAGCATTTTTTAATCAAAACAATTAAATATGCTAAATCTTCCATCAATTAGTAATACATTAAAAATTAAAGTGTTTGAATGGAAATGGCAGAAGAAGCCCTTTGCTCAGTGTTGAGTGCTGGTGCTCAGAGCATCACTTTCAACAAGCACTTTCAGCTCAGGAGTGACTAAGAAACTGATATCCAAAGAGTCACAAAGGGCTGCAGCTGAAAGGGGTCTTGGAGATGACAATCTCTTCTTTCCATAAATGGGAAACGGAGGCCCACTGGGATCATGGGCCTTTCCTAGGATCATACAGGGTGTTAGTGACTGGAATTTGAATTTAGGACTTATGACTTCTGTTTCCTTCCATCAGAAACCCTTAACAAAGGACTCAGGGCATTCATTTATTTACTCATTTTTTAAAAATTCATCAATCATTTATTCTGAAAGTACTTACTGAACACAGCACACACCACATTGCTATGCTAGCAAGACAATGGTGAATTAGATGCAAGTCCTTGACCTCATAGAGTTTGCTGTTTAATGGGGACACAGGCACATAAACTTTGATGCTCAATACTCCCTTGAAAATAGTGAATCTAATCTTTAGCTCAATTGAATGACAGGTCTAAATTATTTTTCCTTTATGGTTGATAGAATAACAGTATGACTGGAAATAATTACTTTGTATAGTTGTAGTTTAAAGGAATGATGTCTCAAAATACAAACTCCTTTAGCTACCGAAAAGGTTGGACTCTGTAGCATGGTCAATATCCCTCCAGTCTATTTATCTAGTTTTATCTTGCCAGCAGACCTAGGATTGGAAACCCATCTCTATTTATTTACATAGCAATGTGGCTTTACTGCTTTAAGAGTTATTTTCCTCATCTGCAAAAGTCAGGTTCCTCAGTGGGTCCTCAGAGGTAGACAAATACAGATATGGCTAATGTGGGCCTGACAGTCTTTATGGGGTCTGAAGGGCAGGTAAAATTTCCATGGTGATCCATTCATCTTCTAGCAAGACTTTGGCCTCTCTGGGGTGCAAAGAGGACCTGGACAAAAAGAATTGTGATGAAGACGATCACTCAGGCACAGAGAACATTGGTAGCTCTGAAAAAAGAGGGAATTATTCAGATCCAAAAATGGTTCATGGAGTAAATAACATTTGAATGGAAGCTTTTGGAAAGATGATGGGTGGAAGAGTAGTCTTTGGAAAGATGATGGAAAGGGAGGAGGAGAGGCATTTATAGTAGGGGCAAATATGTTCAAAAGTTCAGAGTAATGGTGCCCATCATGGGCCAGGTGCTGAGGTAGGCATGGGGGCAAATGCAGATGGATGAGATAGAATTATTGCCTCAAGGTGGCTCAATAAAGAATGGTCGAAAGAAAGAGTGCTAGCATTTTTTACCAGCTAGTATGTGCAACACATATCTCTTCTCATTTCAAGGATTATTTTGGTTGGAACCATGCAGAAGAGAAAACTGAAACTGGATTAAAGAACCAGGCTTTCAACCCAGGCCTTTTGGACTCCAAACATGAAGCTAGCTTTTACTACTGTGACATAGTTGTACCGTGTCAAGTGTCTTTTAATAACTCAGCATTTTGTGTTTCTCTGTGTCCCTGTTGCAGGTATTACCAGCAGAGATATCATGACATGTTTTGGAGGCTCCTTGGGCATTCAATATGAAGGTGGAATAAATGTTGATGGAAGTTTATCAGGAGACCATTGTAAAAAATTTGGAGATGGCAAAACTGGCAAGTGTTTAGCAATAGATCTCCCAAAAAGAGAAGCCAGGCTTTCTTTGGATACACACTGGGACTTGGAAGCTATGTTTTTTTTCCCAGTTGATTTCATTTTGTTCAATGATCAGACTGCATAGGTGCTAAATACCCCAAACCAATGACCCGCAGTGGCTCTATTTTGAATATACCATGGGTTTAAAATCACCTTTGAAGTACTTACCTTTATATGGGGCACCCTCCTAGATTTCAAGTGTTAGACAAAGATCCAAGTAAGAACTAGAATGAAAGGCATCTGGAAAATGGGCTGTTTAAATGAAGGCCCATCATATTACAGTTCAGAGGAAGGAAATAAGGCTGTTGAGAGAGAATATGATTACCGAGTCCAAGCACAAAGAATAATTATTAGAGAGGGATTGTACAGGAATATTTTATGGCATTTCCTGAACAAGTCAGTTTGGGTGTTCATGTATTCATTTACTCATCCATTCATCAAACAGGTATTGAGATTTTCTTCCCCAAGTGGGAGACACAGAGGATAGAGGGATGATGAAGAAGTTTATAATGTAGTGGGTGGAATAGATATTAAACGGGTTCAAGCTATTCCCATTGTATTAGGTTACCTGTAACTCCGGGCCTTAAGTCAAATTGTTTCCTCTCTCTTTCTATCCTCTCTTCATTTACCTGGCAAATACTCACTTACCTTTGTAGACAACTCACCTTTCTTTCTGACTGCCTCCCACACCTCCTACTGTATAGCTGACTAGTTTCTTTCGCTGTGCCCCCATTGAGTCCTATAGTAACATCTATAGCACCTATAATATTTGATTGAACCTATTTCGCATATAGCAAGTACTGAGTAAATATTTGACATATGAATGAATTAGCAAATGAATGAATAAATGAATAACCACGCATTTCCCGTCCCCCTTATCCCCCATGTGGGCCAGGCTGTCCTCATAGTATTTCTCCACTCCAGAGGATGGGACTATTTCTTGAGTCTTGGTCCTTCCCTTCTGCCTTGTCCTGCTAGCTAACCAAGAAGAGTAGAAGAACGGTAAACATCTAAAGAAAACATGTAACCTTTCTTCCAAATCTCATTAGTGGGATTTGTCAACCAGTCCTTGGGCTTTTTGGGAAATGAGCTAATGCAGTTTATCCTCTTGATGGCAGAAAGGGCCAGGAAGGCCATGGCTGTGGAAGACATCATTTCTCGGGTACGAGGTGGCAGTTCTGGCTGGAGTGGTGGCTTGGCACAGAACAGGAGCACCATTACATACCGTTCCTGGGGGAGGTCATTAAAGTATAATCCTGTTGTTATCGATTTTGAGGTAAGTCTTTTCGCAGCTGAAGAAACTCTACGTCCATGAGGAATGAAAGTGAAGCAGACCAGATCATTTCATATTTCTCATTATGAGCCCATCAAAGAACAAGATTAAATGTAACGGCACACTGAACTAGTGGCCTTGCTTGTGCCTGACTCCAGGGAGTGCATGACTTCAGACCTGGGCCACGGGAGAGCAGGGATCAGAAACTGACGATCTGGTCAGTGCCCAGTTTTACACTGCTCATCCCAGAAGTTCCTCAGCATGAGTTCACATTAGGCAAATCGTGATTTTTATTTATACATAAAAGACTTTAAAAATCACATGGGCTACATTGGGGGTGGCAAACTTTTTCTGTAAAATGTCAGAGAGTAAATATTTTAGGCTTCGTGGGACACATGCAGTCTATGATACACAAATTAGTAATAGTAGTTCTTCTTCTTTCTCTTCTTCATCAAATCTCTTAAAAAAAGATAAAGGTCATTCTTAGCTCAAAGGCCATATAAAAATAAGCTGTCGGTTAGACTTGGACCCAGGCTGCAATTTGCTACCATGCTCCAAAGTTATCTCATCTCCCCATTGCAGGAACCTCGGGCATAGATACTATTCCCTCCCATTAAAAAGTTTAGGAAACAGGCTCTGAAAAATCAAGTGAAAATGTTTGAGGTCATAGAGCTCAGAGGTGGCAATGCTTGGATTTCAGACCTTTGTACTTCATACCCAGTTCTCACTTCTCTCTGTCCTAACACCTCCCTTAAAGCAGTGTCTCTCAACTACTAGGGGCAGTTTTGCTCCACAGAGGAAATTTAGCAATGTTTGGAGATGTTTTTGATATTTTTGTCACCACCCACAGTGGGGCAAAGGAGGTGTTACTGGCATCCAGGAGGCAGAGGCCTGGGATGCTGCTAAACGTCCTTCCATGCACAGAACAGACCCCACAGCAAAGAAATATCTGGCCTCAAGTGTCAATAATGCCAAAGTTGAGAAACCCTGCCTTAAATGCTTAACTTCACAAAGTACGGAAAACTCTATTCTAATCACAAAGGAAGTAATTGTTCTAGCAGTTGCCAAACTACTTCTGTCAATATGTGGTGTAGTCCATTCAAAATAAGACTGCATTTTAGACTTTGAAGCAAAAGATCATCGTTTTCTCATCCATTTGCTCCCTACCCTTTTCTATTTTTCTACATATATTTAAAATCCCAGATATGGATATAGTCCTCCTCTTAAAACATATACCTATAGTTACCTATAGTTAAGCCTGGAAGTCTATTCTAACACCCTGGTTTCTGTGAAGAAAGAGGTCAGATGGATTAACCTTGATTTCATTTCTTCTTCAATAAATAAGAGACCATTTTCACGCAACTGTAATTCACATAGAGTTTGAAAATTGATATCATCAAGCTATTAGTGATTTGAGCAAAAACTGTAAAATTGATATCAGGAGTAATGTATAAACTTTCACAGGCAAGAGGGGAACTTGGTGTTTGTCTTGAGAAAAACTTCCCTGGGAAGACTGAGGGTCATCATTTGGAGAAGACCACTACAGTCTTTTGGAAAAAAGAGCCCAGGCTTTGGCAGGGTTGGGTGGGAGGGAGGGGAAAGACATAATTTAGGTCAGAGCTCAGCCGCTTTTTCAACGTGTGACCTTTGACAAGTTACTTCCCTCAGTAAGCCTCAGTTTCCTGCTCTATCACATAAAGATATTTCACAAGACTCAGGAGATCAGAAGTTACTTAGTAAATGTCAGTTGAAGAAACAGGTTCAGCACAATATCTCAAAGTTGGCAAAAGATAGAGTCCAACTCGAGTCATGTTTGACTGACACTAACATCCTCAGTCTCTTCACAACTCATGTTGCCACCTGAGAAGTTCGGACTCGATGCATTAAGCCTCGGGCAGGCTTTACAGCAGGGAAGTAACACAGCTAGCACTGTGCTTTAAAAAGAGAATGCTCACAGGGAAATAAAGGATGATTTGAAGAAGAGCGAGATTACAGACAAGGGGACCAGGTAAGGGTTATTTGGAGCCTGATGTTCAGAGTGGAAACAGCATCTTATTCACTTGCATATCCCCCAGAGTTCAGCAGTGCTTATTTATAGCACGAACTTAAAGTTCATGAATGTAGGAGTCCTGTTATGTTACGTTTGTGTTATGTTATTTTGCTGTGTTGTGTTGTGTGATATATTACTATGTGTTGTTTTGTGTTGCTATATTGTATCATTTGACCTCTGAGTCTTTTTTCTCATCTGCAAAACAGAAACAAGATCACTGCCAATACATTTTCAAGCTCTAACATCCTAAGACCCCTTTTCTCCACCTCTCTCCCCTCCTTTAAGTCCACCAGTCCACCCTGTGGAATGGTTTCTCTCTTCTTGTGGTTCCTGGGAGGGAGAGATCTGAGGCAGGGAACTGGGTGCTGAGCCCCACTAGAAGGTCAAAGAGACCTCCGCGTGCTTAGTGGTCCTGGCCTTCCCTGGAACTAAGAGTCATCTTTGACCAGGCCAAAAGGGCAGACTATTCTACGCTGACTTCCTAACAATGGGACTGAATTCCCTGAACTTCCAGTAAGTGGTTTTCTCCCCTTGGCTGGGGGCCTACCAATCCTGATATTACCTGCCTGCTGACCTCAACCGCAGCCCCTGACCACAGGCCAAAGTCTGTTTGCCACAGGTCTTTCTGTACACACTTCCAGGAACTCAGTCAAAGCTATTGCCAGTGCCCTTAGTTGATTTCTGTTTCCAGGGAAGTGAGACTACCGTAATGTGGCTCAGTCCTACTGCTGACTTGCTCTGTGACCTAGGCAAATCACTTCCCCTTGGGGGACCTCAGGTTCCTCTCCTTAAAATGAGAGATCTGGAGAAGTTCCTTCCTTTTATGAGTGTATTAAAATGTGTAACATTATAAGCATGCTGCAGATAACCATATGTACATGCAATTTGAAAAACACAGAGTTTGGGTTTTTTGTTTGTTTGTTTGTTTTTTTACTATTATCACATTCAACTAACAAAAATGGTGCTTTTTTTTTTTGTCATTCGTCCCTTGTACAGTAGTATCTCACATTCAGTACTTCTTTAGATCCTCATAAGAAATCTGGAAATTAAATATTATTCCCATTTTCTAGATAATGAAGATTAGACTTAGAGAGGGACAGTTAGGTCACATAACTGGAAAGTGAGCCACATTTACTTAGCTTTTACCATGTGACAGGCCTTTCCCCTATATCATCTCCCTTAATCCTCACAATAATCCTGGAAGGTGCGATGACTGTTCTCCCTTTACAGATGATGAAGGACGCTCTGTATGTCATGCGCCAAAGATCACACAATTGGAAGCAGGGTAGCTGGGGTTTGAAGCCAGGTTTTCTGGCTCCAGATTCAATGCTCCTTGTGCTTCATCTACTGCTTCTCAGTTGAGGCAATTGTTTCCCCCAAGGAATATTTGGCAATGTCAGGAGACAGTTTTGGTTTTCACAACTGAAAGGCGGCTGCTGGCAGGTAGGGGGTAGAGACCAGGGACTCTGCTAAACAGCCTACAATGCATAGGACAGCCCACTCCTGCCAATAAAGAATTATCCAACTTGATACGCAATAGAGCCAAGGTTGAGAAACCCTGAACTATGGTCATGCCTGGAATGGGTTGCATCAGTTGTAAATAACCCCTACCCAGCCACATGTAGCTGCCACAGTTATACCATTAGGGGAATTGCTCAGCAATGACAACACCACTACCTGTCAAGAATTTTATTAATTCCTGCATTGAAGGCTGATGATCAAAACACTTTTCCTGCTTCCTAAACATGGTAGAGGGGGCAGATGAGTTGGCACAAATAACTTCTAAGCTCACTTGGGATTGGGAGTGCACAGGTTTCAGAGTTAAGTGGGTGATTCTCATGAGGAATGTACACACTGCTCCAGAATTATTGTGAGGATTAAGGGAGATGATATAGGGGAAAGGCCTGTCACATGGTAAAAGCTAAGTAAATGTGTCTCACGTCTTAGCTGTGTGGCCTTGGACTTTTAACTGCCCCTCTCTAAACCTGATCTTCATTATTATTTCTTAATAATTGTGTGTTTCTGAGCCAGTCACTTAAACACTTTGAGCCCCCCTTTCTTCTGCTGGGAGCTGTTTAGTGCCTATGTCACAGAGTGGCTGTGAGGATCCAAGGTGGTGGGATAAGTTGAGTGTCTGTGTCTGTGCCTGGCATGTATCAGGCCTTCCAGAAGCTTGATGTTCAGTTCTTGGGCTCTGGGAAAGTAGACAGAGCCCAGGGAGGGGCGCTGTGTTCTTTCTGTGCCCACAGATGCAACCTATTCATGAGGTGCTGCGGCACACAAGCCTGGGGCCTCTGGAGGCCAAGCGCCAGAACCTGCGCCACGCCTTGGACCAGTATCTGATGGAATTCAACGCCTGCCGATGTGGGCCCTGCTTCAACAATGGGGTGCCCATCCTCGAGGGCACCAGCTGCAGGTGCCAGTGCCGCCTGGGTCGCCTGGGCCCTGCCTGTGAGCAAATACAGACAGAAGGTAAGGTCTGTGCATCCCCACCCAGTTCCAGCCTGGCCCAGCTCAAAGGGGCCAGTGCAGAAAGGACTTTTGGGGTTCCCAGCCCCTCCTTTCTGAGCCCTCCTAGCCACTACCCAGGAGCCACCCTTGAGAGTTCTATTAATCATCCATCACACTTAATAGTTCTTGTGCTTTGTCCTTACCATCAAGACCTTTTCTCAGATGAGAACTGTTTTTCACCAAGGTGTTTATGGACACCAGGATTCATTTATGGAGGAATAAACTAGTTTCCTAGTTTATTCATCACAAATTAGGTGGCTTACAACAACAGAAGTATATTGTTTCAGACTTCTGGAAGCTAGAAGTCCAAAGTCAGGTGTGTTGGCTAGGTTGGTTCCTGCCAGAGACTGAGGGAGTGTGTGGTCCATGCCCCTCTCCTACCTTTTGGTGGTTGTCAGTAATCCTTGGCATTTCTTGGCTTGTAGATGCATCACTCCAGTCTCTGACTCTGTCTTCACGTGGCATTCTTCCCTCTATAACTCTGTTTCTCTTATAAGAACCACCAGTCATTGGGTTGGAGCCCACCCTAATCCAGCATGACCTCATTTTAATGTGATTTCATCTGCAAAGATCCTATTTCCAAATAATATCATGTTCACAGGTAACAAGGGTTTGCCTTCAACGTATCTTTTGGGGAAGCACAATTCAACTCACTAAAAGAGATAGGTAGTTGTCATTTCAGTGTAAGGAGTTATGACTAAAAACAAGGTTTGGGCAAGGAAAGTTTAAATGCAGATAGCTGCGATATGAACCAACTTGTACCAGGGAAGAAAGTCATCAAACAAGCATTAAAAGTCCATCACTTAAAAATGAAGAAGTCTGAGGACATGGATGTGCATCCCAGACACTTTACTAAGTCACTGTGAGACACTGATTATTCACGTCTTTCTGGGGCTTAGCTTTCTCATCTATGTTCCCTTTTAGCCCCAAGAGTCTCTGTGCATGTTCCAATTCCTAAGCTCCCAATTTTTCAGGCATATGAAACTGTTTATATGAAAATGATGGCAAAATGTATCGGCTACCTAATCAATGTATACATTAACCTAAATTGGCTATTGCAATGAAGAAAACACAAACGGGAAAACAAAGAAGTCTGGATGGGCAAACCCAAAGTATTACAATTGACTCCAGAAAACAAACAGTTGAAGCACAGGGTGGAGGGGGTTGAAGCCATGTGGCCCAATGGCCATGTGAAAGAAACAGGCCAACCATTAGTCCCAGTTCAGTCAGTGGGAGCCTGATACAGATGGCCCCAGAATGATAGATGGGTTAACAGAAGTCAAGAGCCCAGGATAAGATTCTTCTCTGGCGTACCAAGATGTTTGTTCTTGGTGTCACATTTCACCAGATACTGGCAAAGCAAAGCAGGCAACCCAGGGAAGTGGGAAGGCTCAAACCTATGTACTAAGAAGATCTGGAAAGATTGGGAACTTTTGGCATGAAGAAGAAAGACTCAGGAAGGACAAGTCCCATATAAACCACCATATGGGAGGACATGTTTTCTATGGCCACTGAGATTAGGTTGTAGGACTAAAGGAGAGAAGCTATAGCAAAGGGATTAGGGCTTAATGAGGGAGGACTTTCTTCTGCATGTACTGTGGCAGGAGTGAGGAGGGGATAGATGACCACTTTTCAGGAAATTGTAATGAAAGAGATTCATTCTTCCAAGGGATGGTTGGGCAAGACAGCCTCAAGGTCCTTCCTACCCCCAGAATCTCTGAGTCTCTGACCTAAACAAGGGAGAGCAACATGGTGAGCAGTCGGTAGTTTGAAGCTTAAAATCTTTAAATGCAAAATTGAATTTAAAGATTTTAAGCTTCAAACTACAAATACCAATTTCTTTAGGATACAAGGGGATCTTTATGCCGTAGACCTGGTTTTAACATGAGATGATGGTGAGTTATTATTTCCTCTTTGGGAGAGTAGTTCTAAGTAGGAGGCAGGATAGCATAGCTCAGGTATCAAACAGATCTTTAGCTTTTTGTTTTTGTTTTTGTTTTTGTTTTGAGATGGAGTCTCACTCTGTCGCCCAGGCTGGAGTGCAATGGCGTGATCTCGGCTCACTGCAACCTTCACCCCGCAGGTTCAAGCAATTCTCCCACCTCAGCCTGTACTCCCCCACGCCCACCCTGAGTAGCTGGGACTACAGGCATGCACCACCATGCCTGGCTAATTTTTGTATTTTTACTAGAGATGGGGTTTTGCCATGTTGGCTAGGCTGGTCTCGAACTCCTGGCCTCAAGTGATCTGCCCGCCTCAGCCTCCCAAGGTGCTGGGATTATAGGCGTGAGCCACCGCATTCAGCCCAGATCTTTAATTGTTAAGCTGCCAATTTCCATCTGGACATACCCTCTAAAATGAGATTATATTGGAACCTTCTCAAAGGTTGTGTTGAGGATTAAACTAGTTAACACTGGTGGTAGGCTCTATTATAATAAGGAAAAGATGAGACAGCTTCATGTGGGATGTTTCATTGGTAGAGGATTGTTCTGGGTTGTTACTTCTTCAAATTCCTCCTTTGGTGGCAAAAGGGAACAGAATCTGAGCTGCCTGTGTCCTGTGGGAGATAAGCTGAAAGAGATAAGCCAAGAGGGTGAGTGAAAGCCAAAGACCTTAAAAAGGAGCCTGCAGAGAATACAAACCAAGGAGACCAACTCCCAGGGCCAGTTCCATCTTCCATGGAATTGCAGATTCCAGTTTCCTTGTGAGAACTGGAAAAAAGGCACTGCCTGGTAGGTGGGTGAATTGGGAGAGAAAAAGAAAACCACTCTGGATTGATACAGCACAGCTCAAGGGTCCAGGGCTTTCCTGACTTCCCAAGCAGGGTATGGACTGGGTTGCAGCTGCCATTTTCCCATTGGCCAGGCAGCATTCCCAAGGGGACCAAAGATCAATAAACAGAAAAAATAACTAAGCCTTATTAGTAACAGCCATTATAGCAGCATGTATATGAACTCATTTATTTTCCCAACAACCTTATGACATAAATGCTATTATGAGTCCCAATTTACAGATGAGGAAACCAGGGCAGAAGGAAGGTTGGATAATTTGCTCAAGGTCACCTAGCTGGGGAATGAAAGAGCCAGGATTTGGACCCGGGACCCAATCTCTTAACCATTACACCCTACTGAGTCACATCCTAAGAGTGAGGAAATTTGGGGAATGAGAGTAGAGGGCCTGAGACAACTTCTGTAAGTATCATCTCGGGGAGTGGAAAGTGGAGTATGTACCAGTTCATGGTTATCAACCTGGCCTGGCTTAAAGGAACAGATGTGAGCCTTGCCAGAGTAATTTAATTATAGCACTCCAAGGGCCCTCAGAACCAGTGACTTGCTAGGATCCCTGTCCATACAGCACAGAGACAAGGAGAAGAGGGAGTATGGGCTACCCAGACGTGCCTCTCCATGGTCCAGTGTCAGGCTCAGTGGCAGGCAGGCTGAGACACCTGCACATATGGTGGGCATCAGAGAAGGTGTGGGCATTACGTAATGATCTGCAGGAAGGGATGAGACAGAGGGCTGCTCTCAAGGTCGCATTCCTCCTGCATTCAGTTGCAGGCAGTGCACTTAGTTCATTGCAGGCAGCTCATGGCACTCCATCAACCTGGTTCCAAGCAAGGTGTGGACATCAGGTGGCCTTGGGGCTATCATACTGAATTTTCAGCCTGTTGGAGACTGGGCTGGCAAGGAAGTCTGAGGCAGGGCAGTCAAATTCCATGGAGGCCCATTACAGTCCCTGGGAATTTTCCCAGCAAACCTTTGCCTATGAGGACCGAGGCACAGAGGTGGGAGAAAGAGACAGAGAGCCTTGCTGTGGCTGCCCCATCAGGGAGTATAATTACAGAGCTGGAAGGAACTTGGAGATAACCCAATCCAATGATATTCACACTGTGATCTGAGGAGCCTTGGGGTCTCAGAGCTGCCCCAGCGGAGGAGGGCGAGCCTGACAGACATCCAGCTTCAAATAGAGCAGCACCACTTTCATCTGACTTCGAGGTTGGGGTCCATGTAAGATTTCATTTAGGAAAAATGAAATTGTGATGAAAAAAATAATGATTGAAAAAAACCCATTGGATTAGTCCATCCTTCTCATATGATAGTGTCCAAAACTCAGGCCAAGCCCCAGGCTAGGCAATTCTCTGAGCTAGATTTCCAGATAGTCCATGGTCAGTGCATGTTTTCAGATGCTCTGTGCAGAGAGCCTGTCACCCTCTGCACCTCTGTTGCCAGAGTCTGAGGGGGTTTGATTTGCAGATCCTCATACAAAAGCTTAGCAATCCTCTCCAGGGTGGTGCCCGGCCAAATCTTTTCTCTGACTCCCCAGCGGGGCAGTGCTCCCCGTTCTCCACACCCTCCAGTGACTCTGTGTCATTCTTCCAACGGAGCACACCTTCTGCCTCCCTCCGCTATCCATCTTCCATGGAACGGCGGATTCCAATTTCATGAGATGGGCTCCCAGTGGCCTCTTCTCACTCCATCCAGAGTTTCAAATTAAGTGCACAGCAGTGAGCACAGAGGTCTTGGTTGGCTACCTGAAGGCATTTCCCCAAGGAGGGATTGCAGACCACTTTCAGGCAACAGGATGGCCCTCCCTCCTCAGTAGTAGCTCTGCAACCCCCTGGGCAGAGCCCCCAGGGACAATTAAAAGCCTGTCTGCCGTGGTCTCCACAGTGAAACTGCCCTTGCTACATCCGGACTAGCAAAGAAGCAAAGACCCTATGTGCCTTATCCGTAGGTACCTCCAACAAGCTGCAGTCAACCAAAGGAGGGGAGGCCAGTCTGTCTCCCAAGGGTCCCACCCCACCCCTCCCTGTTCGTCACCAGACAGGCACTTCCTTCTTAACCATATGCTAACCTCCTCCTCCCTGGGAAACTTCCTCCGCAGGAGCCAAAGCAGATGGGAGCTGGAGTTGCTGGAGCTCCTGGTCTGTGTGCAGAACAGGCACCCAGGAAAGGAGAAGAGAGTGTGACAATCCCGCGCCTCAGAATGGAGGGGCCTCGTGTCCAGGGCGGAAAGTACAAACGCAGGCTTGCTGAGGGCCTCTGAGCACAGGCTGGACCAGATGCTGTGAATCGCCCCTGCACTGACTATTGGATAAAGACTTCTTTCAACTGAGAGACAATGAAAATCAGCACACTTTTTTCTTTGTTCTGCCAGCTTCCAGGCCTAAGACTAGGTTTTGCTATCTACAGCCAACTACTCTATTACTTACAAAACTCAATCATTTTATTCAGCAACTGGATGTTGACTGTTAACTAGAAGCTCTGTCCTGCTCACAGCACCTTGGATCATCAAAAAAATAAAGTAAAATAGAAAACTGAGAAAACTTAATCCATGACCAGGGAGAACTTACAGAATGTTAGAGACAAAGCAAGTAGACACCTGAAACAATCAACGCCCAATTAAACAAAGTAGGATGAGAATTCTCTTAGTTCTTTGATAACAATATTTGTTCTTTCATGGAAACATTATTAATTGGTAGGGTAAGCAGACACTCTGAAATAATGAGAAAAATATTAAAAATTGACTTGAGTTATTTCAATTTTCCTTCATATGAACTCATTTATTAATTCAATTAATCTCTCTAGTTCCCTTAAGTTCTTACCACAAATGTGACATTTCTTCTAATTATTTTCTTATGGAACACTTCTTTTCCTTCATTGCAATTTTCATAACTAGTAATTATATTATCTTAGTCTATTTGGGCTGCTATAACAAAAAACCATAAACTAGGTGGCTTATAAACGACAGAAATTTATTTCTCACAGTTCTGGAGGCTGGGAAGTCCAAGATCAAGGCAGATTCAGTGTTTGGTAAGGGCCCACTTCTTAGTTTTTACAGGACTGTCTTACTGCTGTGTCCTTACATGGCAGAAGGGGCTAGGCAGTCTCTTAGGTCCGTTCTTTAAGGGCACTAATCCCATTCATGAGGGCTCCATTCTCATGACCTAGTCACTTTCTGAATTTCCCACCTCCTCATGCCATCACTTTGGGGTTAGAATTTCAACATTTGAATTTTGAAGGGACCATGTTCAGATCATAGCATATATATTTAACCCCACATCTCCTGTGACTATTTAAGATCTATCTCTTCCTAAGAGATAATTATCTTGAGGGCAGAAGTCAAGTTTGTTTTGTTTAGCACTGTAGCCCCTGAGGTCAGGCTTGTGTCTTAAATGTAGCAGGGACTTAGTAAGTAGCTGTGATTAAATAAGTGAATGAATTGAAGAGTCAGTTCATAGATGAGGAGCATGTTGGTCAGCCTCCCAGAGAGGAGAGTGGATTTGAAGAGGCCAACTAGTGACAATCAATCCACCTTCTCCAACCCATCTCTAGGGGAGGCCAGTCACACCAGCCAGCCTCAGAATCCCACAGCACTCCAGTCATGCCTCAAATAGAGAACATTTTAGGTAGCACTGAATTTTTTGTTTATCCTTCAGTTTCCTGTATTAGATTGTGAGCTCCTTGAAAGCCAAATCTACAATCCTAGTGCATAGTAGGTACTCAAGAAACGTCTGGTAACTAACATATATATTGATGCTTCAAGTCATTCCAGAGTCCTCTATCTTGTTAAAGTAAGAATAAGAATTATATATACGAAACAACTAGAGGAGGCTTTAGGGAAATTAATTGTTGAGTTAAAGCTAAAATATGTAGCACACAAAATAAGTGCTGAAGGAGGCCAGGTAGGAGAGAGATTTACCTTTCCATGAGTGTGTATATTGTGGATGGCATGGGGCTTGCCCCAGGCCCTGAAGGACTTTTCAAGTAGGCAAAGAGGGAGGAGATCTCTCAGACAGAAATTCAACATGAGACAAAGTCTGAAAGTGAGAAAGACAATTGAGGGTGTGTGCAGGTGCGTATGTGTCAGGAATGGGGAGTGGGGAAAATAATGCATGTAAATAAAATAAGGCATATAAAACACTTGGCACCATGCCTGTCATACAGGACATCATTAGCCTCACCCTTATCATCATCATTATTAAGACTATTATTAATTAAAGAATGTGATTTAGAAGTTGATTGCTGAACTCTTTAGATCTTCTGTCTGAGAAAAGAAAAAAGACTCTCTTATTGCCTTCCATCCTGTCATTAATTTGCTTTTTGCTTTTTAACTTATATTAATAATTAACCTACATTCATTATTTACTGAGTAGTGGCAGTTTCATGCTAGAAAGTGACCAAGGGCCAAATTGACCAGGCCATGTGAGCACTTTAAAGAGAGCATTTGATCTTGACCTAAAAACAGTGGTTCTTAAACTTGGTTGTATGTTACAATCACCTGAGGAGTTTTCAAAACCCTGATGTCTACAGGCTGCACCCCAAACCAATTAAATCTTAATCACTGGGGGTAGGGACCACACATCCGTAGTTTTTCGGGTTTTCTTTTGTTGGTGTTTTTTGTTTGTTTTGAGACAGAGTCTCCAGGCTGGAGTACAATGGTGTAATCTTGGCTCACTGCAACCTCTGCCTTCAGGGTTCGGGCGATTCTCTTGACTCAGCCTCCTCAGTAGCTGGGACTGCAGGTGCACGCCACCATGATGCCCAGCTAATTTTTGTATTTTTAGTAGAGATGAGGTTTCGCCATATTGGTCAGGCTGGTCTCGAACTCCTGACCTCAGGTGATCCACCCACCTCGGCCTCCCAGAGTGCTAGGATTACAGACGTGAGCCACTGTGCCTGGCCTGACATCCTTAGCTTTAAAAGTTCCCCAGGTGATTCCAAGTGCAGCCAAGTTTGAGGCTCCTGAGAGTGGAGGAATCATTATATGTGCATGGGGAACGGGGTCTGTGACAAAACAAAAAGTCAGAGACAGCAAAGTTATTTGTGCTAATTTAACTAGTCCTGTGCAAGATCTCTTAAGGTTTATTTTCTGTGCCCTATTGTGCAGCCAAGAAACTGAATCTCAGCAAGGTTGAGCCTCATGGGCCACAGAGCAGGCCAGGGTTTGAATGCGTCAAACACATGCTTCCATTTCCTCCACTCACCCTTTCCTCTTGTCTGTCGGTGGAGGGATTTGGAGAATAGTGTGTGGGGCACAGGGGAGGGAAAGAAACCAGAGGCAGGGAGGCTCATCAGGAGGTAAGTGTAGTAATCTGGGCAAAAGATGAGAACTTTGAGATTAAGTAATTGCCTGAATCATCTGTGAGCCAAAACCACCGGCTGAGCAAAGCCATCTTCCTATCTTCTGAGCCAGAGAACCCAAGCCAGCATCTGTCCCACTCCTCTGAGGATGCTACATCCCCAGGAGCTTTAAAAATTAAAATACAGTGGCAGTTTCAAGCATAGCAACCCTTTACTACATCAGCAGCTTTCCCTCTTCAAGAATGGCTCTCACAAAGCAAAAAGCATAAAGCTCATCCAATGCATTTTCCCTTAGGTCTTTTAAGAAGATCTATAATCTAAGGTTTTATAGGTAGTGGGTGTAAATACATGGTTTAAAGATATAATCTTCAGCTTGACAAGGTGTCTTTTGAAAAGTAAATTAATGACAGAATAAAAAGCAATAAGGAGAGGCTTTTTTCTTTTTTTTCTTCTTTGTGAGAAAGGAAGATCTAAAGAGTTCAGCACTCAATGAATCTCTTCTGAACTATATGCCTTTAGGGTGAAGAAAATGGACAGAGAGAAAGGGTAGGCTTCAAAAGCCACATTGCAGAAATGAGAGATGGCAAACTGAAGCCATTGAGTGCCGTGAGAGGAAGGGGATGTGATATGGATTAGAGCAATGGCATGAAGAAAATTTATGGTGCTACTCCTTCACTTCAGAAATGGGCAAAATACTCGCTGGAGATCTCTTGTGCAGGCCCCATCTGGGTGCTGGAGGTTCAGAAAAGGATCAGACATGGTCCCATCCCTGGAAGAATGCAGTCTGGTAAAGCAGAACTGTGAACAATGGCAATAGGTCCCAGGCGGCAGGAAGTCCAGGGACCTGTCGGGGATAACCAGCTGTGGGAGCAGGGCAGGCAGCCAGGACATGGCCAGCAGAATCTCAGACACAATGAGAGCTGGAGCATCAAAGAAAGCAGAAGGAGGGGCCCGATTGTGCAGGGGAATGGTGCCAAGTGACAGAGCTGGAAAACCAGGAGATAGAGTGTGGGGCAATTTTTGCTCAGCTCTTTGGGTAGTGATGCTGGAGTTTGTCAGGCTGGAGATGACTGAGTTTGGAATTCCAGTTTGGTCACTGGGCCTTTCCTGAGGGCAGCCAGTGCTCGGTCCCAGGGAGATTCCTACAGACAGCCCCTTTCCTGATTACCCTGGGCTACTCTTGGGCTTTCAGCAAGCCCACAGCTATTGTTATAAAGACCACAAATTTCAAACTGGATTCATAAAGCACATCTCTAAGGCTGTTGTACCCCTCCACCTTTATCTCTCTGTTCAGACTCTATGAGCCAATTGTGCTAGAAATCTATTGCCCCTGATGTGAGGAACAAAGATCTGTGTAACTAGCCCTTGGCTCCCTCTCATTTCCTTCCCTTCAGTTCTTCTCTCAATGATACTGCTCCAGTCATGCAGGCCCTTTTGCCATTCCTCATGCACACCAGACCCTCCCCCTCCTCAGGACCTTTGCACCTGCTGTCCTCTCTGCCTGAGATGCTCACCATCTAAATGAGCTCATCCACAGCTCACTTCCTCATTTCATTCAAGTCTTTGCTCAAGTGTCACCTCTGCAAAGACATTATCTGTCCACCCTGTGTAAAGAGGCTCACCCTTTTCATTGATTTTTCTCATACAGAATTACCATTACCTGACATTGTAGATTTGTTTATTTGTTCTTTTTTTCTTCTCATATGTTATGGACTGCATGTTTGTGTACCCCCAAATTCCTATGTGGAAATCCTAATCCCTAATGGGATAGTATTAGGAAGTGGTGCCTTTGGGAGTGCTTAGGTCATGAAGATGGAGTCCTCATGATGTGATTAGTGCCCTTATAAGGACAGACACCAGAGAGCTTGCTTCTCTCTGCAATCTGCCATGTGAGGGATACAAGAAGATAGTGGTCTGCAAACCAGAAAGAGTGACTCATCAGACACTGAATGGGCTGGCACCTTGCTCTTGGAATTGTCTGTCTCCAGAACTGTGAGAAATAAATGTCTGTTGTTTAAGCCATCCAATTTATTGTCTTCTTCTATAGCAGTCTGAAACGACTAAGACAGTATGACTCCCCCCGTTATTAAGCAAGCCTTTTCATGGTTAGATCCCCAGTACCAAATAGTATTTAGCCTTAGTAGGGATTCAGTAAACATTTATTGAATTAAAGATCTATTTCCAATTTAGTTCCCCAAATAGGTCAGGCCTTCTGTTGCCTCCAGCTTTTGCACATACTACTCCTGGAAGAACTACCCCACTCCCACTTCTCAGCTCTCATCTTCTCCTAGCCCCTCACCAGCACTTTCCTGGGCATAGGTTAAGGTGTCCATTCATCCAGAAAACCAACCTTGACCCCTTCCATTACCCCACACTTCATCAGGTCCTCCTCCCTCACACAGCTCTGTATTCCAGCACTTTCCATGCTCCATCCCTGTAGCCTAGTTGTGTGTCTACC